CAGTGAAAAATGTATTGTACATTACTAAATCATTCATTGGGACAAATAGTTTCGACTTAAAGGATAATTATTTTTTAATATTAAATAACATATACCATCTCAAACATCTCAAGAATGAGATTTAAACCACATATAGATACATATAAATCATAGATATACCTGGAAAAGATTGGGACAAATAGTTCCGACTTAAAAGATAATTATTTTGTAATATTAAATAACATATACCATCTCAAACATCTCAAGAATGAGATTTAAACCACATATAGATACATATAAATCATAGATATACCTGGAAAAGAAGAATTTCTGACCGATAGAACACAAATAGAATAATAGGGCAAAGACAACTTGTAAGCTTTTATAGAGTATTGCAATATAAAGAATAAGAAAAGGTTTTAAGAGAAAATTATTAATGCGGAAGACAAAAAGAATAAATGCGGAAGATGAAAGGTAGAATCAATCTTAATAACTAAATAAATAGTGAATGGCCATGTTCTGACTTAATCATAACTTAAGTTTGAAGCATTAAACTAATGTTGGAATGAGTGTAAACGGAAGAAGCTCAAAGGATAACAATTAAAGCCTCATTAAGAAATGATAAACTCTAACACCTAACCATGTATATTTGGTCTAATTAACTTTTTATTATTTATTTAATAAAAAAAAATAGTGAAGGATATTTTCGTAATTCAACTTTGAGGTTAGGAGCTTCCCACTTATAGTATAATATATATATGATATATGATATGATAAAAAAAATAGTGAAGGATATTTTTGTAATTCAACTTTGAGGTTAGGAGCTTCCCACTTATAGTATAATATATGATTCTTTAGCACTGCTTATCGTAATAGGTTAAGTATAATGGTTCCATCACTTCTGCTTGCACAATGATCTGAGCTTGCATGAACTCAGTACTTTAAGTCAAAACTGTGAATCAAGTGCTTCAAACTAGAATCACGATAGATTGTTAGAAACTAAACACTGGTCTGTCGAAATGATTCAATTTTCTAAAGCCTAATCTGTTCTCTGAAGCTTTTCTATCAGCCTCACTTGTGTCAAATTGATTACAACTTAATTACCATCGAGACTTCGAGGTATATTGGTATGTTGCTTCACCATTCACAGGTGCAACATCCTTCAGTTTATCTTTAGATGTAACGAAGCCTATCAAACTCTGAGGAAGAACCAACAGTAGATCGTCGAGTCTTTGAAGCAACAAAATTGCAGCTGCATCATTAGCTGTTGGTTGACTAACTTCCCTGATGGAAGGAAGCACAAATTTCTCTTTCCAAATAAAAAAAGGAGCATTCAAATTCAATTATAAATATTGAAGGAAATCATAAATTTGGGACATAGAAATCCGATATGAGTATACACATAGTATGACTTCCAAAAATGTGTATATAATCCAACACATTCAATGTATTATTTTAAATATAAATCAACTCTCATAAGAACATAGAACATCCTGTGGGTGATGCAAAATCCTATCTGCATTCTTCGTAAACCAGGTGTGAATCTGCACATTCTTGCCTCCAATCTGCATTCTTCGTAAACCAGGTGTGAATCTGCACATTCTTGCCTCCAATCTGCATTCTTCGTAAACCAGGTGTGAATCTGCACATTCTTGCCTCCAATCTGCATTCTTCGTAAACCAGGTGTGAATGTGCACATTCTTGCATCGAAGTGACTGAAACCAGAAGGAAAGGAATAAGATTCAAAGATAGGTAGTAAACAAGTCAGATTACTTCATGTAGCAGCAAACGAGAAGAAATTAAAGCACATACTAACCTAATTAACTGCTCGGTGCATGAGATAGGTCTTCAAAAATATGTCGGAGGCCCTCATTCTTAACCATGGATTCTAGTATGTTATCCTCTGACACAGAACATGAAGGATCCATCTTGACTTCATTCCTAGACAATAGTACATCTGACTGATAACTTTTTCTCGTCTGTTGTTCGATCTTGTCAACCTCCCATTTTGATGTTACTGGATAGTAAACATGCACAAATTTAGTCTGACCTTTCCTGTAGGCTCGACTGATAGCTTGCTGTTCTACCGAGGGATTCCAGAGAACGTCAAGCAAAACCACTCTTGATGCCCCTATAAGACTTATTCCTTCCGAACATGCTTTTATTGATGCAAGAAGTACTTTGACCTCACTCTTAGGATCGTTAAGAGAATTTATTGATACCTGCCGCTGCTTTACATCAAGTTGGCCATCCATATATAGAATCTCCCGGTCTAAAGTCCAGCCAAAGAGAGAACTGAGTTGCTCCTTGATCAGCTTTAGAGGACCAAGTAATTGGCTAAATATTATAACCCTCTCCTTCTGCCCATCGCATAGTTTGATTAATTCAACAACAAACTTAGTTTTTACTCCAATATCAGGATCCAACCGATATCTTCTTTCACTGAGCTGACTTTCTAAATCAGAGAACTCCTTCCTGTTTGCCACTAATGAAGGATGAGCGGAGATCAGAGACGATAGATTGGAAAGGGAGCCCGGATTCTCTGGTATTCTTTTAAGCAACTCCTTCTGCAAATCTGTGGGCTTCAAGTGTATCACTGTACTCTTTAAACCCGGAAGGCTTACCTTCTTTACATCTTCACTGCACGTATGCACAAGTGGTGCAATAATATCCCTAAGCTCTTCCAATGCTCGGGGATTAGTGTCAATGGAACTGCTAAGAGAAGCCCATTTCTGCTCCGAATCTGCAGCAAACTTTGGACAAACTATGCTGAGAGTGTTGTAAAATTCTTTGATGTTATTCTGGAACGGAGTTCCAGACAGAAGTATCCGCTTCTCTGTTTCAACCTTTTTCAGTGCTTTCCACACAAGGCTGTGCTCATTCCGAGCAGTGTGCCCTTCTTCAAGGACCAGAAGACCAGGTAATTTTAGAAGCATTTCTCGTATCCCTTTGGCATTACCGTCTCCATCTTCTCCTGTGAGATTCCTGAGCAAGTCATAGCTGATTCCCAATACACTCTTACTTTCAGCCCAGGATTTCAGCTTCACCAAACGTATAAGCTGTGTATTTTTTCTTCCTGCATCGGATAAACAGCCAACGACACGAACTGTAGCTTCTTCTTCTTGGGAGGAGAAATCTTTACTGTTCAAATTGTAGAAGGGAATGTCCACCTTCCATTTCTGGAACTCGGCTTCCCAGTTAAGAAGCAAACTTGATGGAGCTATGATTACAGGCCGACTCTTCGGAAACATCTTCAGATATGACTGAAGAAACACTATGGTGAGTCGGGTTTTTCCGGTGCCAGGTGGGTGTGAGATAATGCATCCCCCCCTACTCTTAGATAGGGGCTCTCTCAGCCTCTCAAGTGTTATAGCTCCAGCAATGTGTTCCCACATAAACTCAAATCCTCCACGTTGATGAGGATACATTGCCACTTTAACATTTGGGGAAACTAAATCCCACACTGTTCCTTCTTCATAAATAGCACAGTCTTGGTCTGCAGAAGAATCAGAAGCTCTGAAGCTCTCAACATCCAACAGTGATGGTGACTCTCTGAGATATTTTCTTCTATGCCTTCGTCGAGGTCTTCTAGCCTGCAAATGACACATAAGTTCATGATTTTAAGAGTGAACAAAATATAAACTAAAGAGCATGCCCGTTTAATTGGGATGGCAAAGCTACAGAAAAAACTGTCATAAATTTAGATTTAGTAGAATGTGTGCA